GCCCACAACAACAACAACAACAACAACAACAATAATAATAATAACAAATTCAAAGCGAATATTTTTAGTTTAAATTAAATTTGTAAAGCAACAATTTTAGAGCTTAAAATTCCGTCGAGTACTATTTCTGTAGTCCTTTTTTTATGCCATTTAATATGTAAAAAATATTAAAGGAATATATTGCATATTTTTCAGGCCAGATAAAGGTAATATTATTTTCATATAAAACCTTCATTATATTGTATATGACTTCGTGTAATATTTTCAAAAATTTTTATAATATATGTATGCACCTTAATATTAGCAACGTTCCTTCTCTGTTATACATAATAATATTCATTATAGATCGAATCCAATTAAAAATTATTTAATGTATTTTTAAGTTAAAAATCAAATTCTAATATAGAAATTTAGCCACTTCTACTGGTCTTTGTTTTTTATCTAAAGTACTAAGCCAACATCCATTTTATATAAAAATGTCGTACATTTTAGATAAATACTTCTTCTGCCGACATAAAGCTGTGTATAAAATTTTATATTCTACAAAGTCCAAATTTTTTTTAAGTGTCCAAATTTTTTAGCACATTTTTTTATTTAGAGTTTCGTGTCAATTTTCGTACAAAATAAATGTTAGTACTAGACTTAAAACATTAATATTACTTATACATCATCTTAACCTTATATCACTTCCCATAAAATAATACTCCTCTCCAACCCTGCTATAGTTAAGATGTAAATATGTAGCAATGTCTATATAACTATACCAGCCAAAAAAAGAAGAGAAACGTCAGATAAATTTGATAGAGGGTTGAGACCTATGCTTTTATTAAATTCAATGGCACTTACAAGAAATTATATGTATATTTCCAGAAATATGAGACATTATCTAGTCAAAACATAAAGATGTCAGATAAATTCCGAAAAGAACATCTCTTAGTAAATACCTAGAATTGATAAGAAAAGTCTAAGAAAATGAAGATTCTTTTTAAAACACAAGTCAAATATATCAACTAATGCAGAACTAACTCAGCCATGCGCGCGGTAATTTCACTTTTCGGATATTAATAGCCCTCTTGTACCGACTGAACCGATCATTGAACATAAACACCAAGGGTTAATGAAGAAACCTTAAGCAGACAAGGATTCTACACAGATCAAAAAGGAGTTGCTACAACTAATGCGAAACCTATTCAGTACCCATAATTAAAAGTAGTTAACCCTATATCCATATTCTGTACGGAAACATTATGGTTTAACTGGCTTAAGATTTTCCAAGATTTCTTTTTAAGATATCCCCATTCTTTTAAGACATGGTTTTTTACTAAATCATACCCATGAATAAGGCAATCTTCGGTACTTGTTACCAAAACTTAAACCAACGGACCCTCTTTAACTATTTGTATTTAAACAAAATTAATAAAACTTAGGTCACTTAGGTCTATAGGTCCATTGTGTTACCGTATTATTAAAAACTCAAGGATTAGAACCACTCAAAATCTTTAAATAATTAAATAAAATTAATTAAATAATTAAACAAAATTTTAAAATGATTAAACAAAATTTTAAAATAACTAAATTTAAAAAAATAATTAGAATTATAAATTAATTAAATAAAATTATTAACATATTTTATTAAAATTTTTAATTTAACTAAATAAAGTTCATAAAATAATTAAATAAAATTAATAAAATTATTAAATAAATTGAATAAAATGATCATATAACGTTAATAAAATAAAAATATTTAAATAGCAAAATATTTAAATAAAATTATTTTGCAATATTTGAAATTATTTTAATTCATTATTTCATATAATGCCAATAATTTTTTATTCATTTTATTATACAATTTATTACGTTATATTATAAATTTGATATAAATTGTATTAAATAATTTTGTATTATTTGCATATTTTTTGCAAAATTTAATTTTTCCCATTTTATTCAGTAAAAAAATCTTAAAGCGTTTGTTGTATGCAAATTTCCACATGCAATTACTCAATACTCACCCCCCACAAGCGTTCAACAATAGAAAAAAAAAAAGAAACGACAAAAACAAAAAAAAAAATGTCAAGCAAAAAAGAAAAACAAAATAAAAATAAATGCAAAATCCAAGAAACATAAATGTTTTCTTCTCTTGTTTCACTTTTTTTTTTATAATAAGTTCGTCTGCAAAGCAAAATAAAAAGCTTTTCATTTTCACTCTCACTTTCATTCAATACGAAAAAGTTCTCATCAAACACAAACACAAAAAGAAACAAAACAAATCAAAACAAACATTAAAGAAATATTCATTCGCTCTCGAACAAACATTTCTGTTCGATTATGTTTCACTCACGTGTTCAACTTTCATATCATTTCAATTCCACACAATTAATGCATATCGAACCCAACAAGTTCCCAACATGTTGGGGCATTAGCACAACCAAATCTCAACCATAAATTTAAAGTTTATTTACTAAAAAGAGCAAAATATATACACTTACCTTGCACGGCTAAAGTGTGGCTCTTTGCACTCATTCAAAAACACAGTAGCGTAACTAAAAACACGTTCATGTTCATACACATTACAGAGTTGTTGCAAAAAAATAAAAAAACAAAAAAATTATTGTTTTTTTTGTTATAAAAAAATTTATATGAACAGCGCGAAACAAGTTTTTAAACTTTTTTCTATTATTTATGCACACCAAAACTTTATATATTAAAATTTATTTGTTAAACATTTTTTTATCAATAATTGTTATTTAAATTAACGCATCTCATACTAGTGTTACCATCTTATCAAAATTAAACACTACTCGTACGTATATAACCAATAAAAAATTATGTTAATTTGACACATAAATCACCATTTTAAATCCATCCGGCTCAGCCATACGATAAGAACGGAGACTGAAGACAAACTGACGGCTGCGATACCTTACCACCACATTGCACAGTTTGTTGAAGAGAATAGCATCTGTGCAATGTTGTAAGCTGACTCATTTGAATGAATGTGCGAAAGGGATAGCACAAGTGTTATGCAAGAAAGAAAATTTTATAAATGGCCTGCAGGTAAACATATGATTTAATATAGGGTTGTCATTAACAAAAAAATTTAGTAGATTTCAGAATATTTGCAAATAGAACATAAAATACTTTGAATATAAGGTATAATGCATGTATAATATCAATATTGATATTAAATTTTTCTTTTTTTAAATAATTATATTAATTATTAGATAATAAAAATGAATATTAGCAAGTGAATTTATGAATAAACTCCAGAAAAAAATGCTAAATCAAGCTTCAAATAAATACTTCAAACAATTATTTACGAATGATTAAATCAAGAAATAATAATATAATATAAAAAGATTTTTTATTGTGGTTCACTATTTTTCGGAACCTCTCCACCTAATAATATAAATAATGTTTGAGAATATGACATGGTTAAAGAAATATATACAAGTTTTCCAAAATATTTTCACATCTGCGTTAAAACATCGCAGACTGTTTGAAAAATGCGATTATTGTATATTTGGTTACAGATTATATAAATGACTATAAAAATAACTCCATGTAAGAAAACTTTAAATAACTTTTATCTTATACTACGTTGTACTACATTGTGAGATTAAGAAAACGAGCTTAAATTAATCTACATTCTTAAACTCCACCGTTTGCATTATACATTGTAGATTAATTTGACGTTTCTGTTGTTATGGTTTGTTTCGTGTGTTTGATAAATTTCTGTAAATAAAGCACTTAATTACAATTTTGTACTAAAAAGTTATAATATAAATTTAATAAATAGTTTTATAACAATAATATAACAAATTTAATTTATAATTATGTACAAAACTATTATTAAACAAATTTATTAAAAATTTACTCACTTCGTAATAAAATTTACGATGTTAATCACCATTTCGAAGGAGATTTAAAATTAATCTCGACAAAAAGGAGATTAACTTTTGTATGGAAAGTTTGAGATTAAACAACGATCTTGATTTTTGCTTTAATTTAGATTTACTCTCGATCTATCAAATTTTCTTGTCCAATTGAACATTGTTGCACAAAGAAATAATCACCATTTCGAAGGAGATTTAAAATTAATCTCGACAAAAAGGAGATTAACTTTTGTATGGAAAGTTTGAGATTAAACAACGATCTTGATTTTTGCTTTAATTTAGATTTACTCTCGATCTATCAAATTTTCTTGTCCAATTGAACATTGTTAGAGTAATCGTGTAAGTAGACATATACATTTTTAACAAATACATACATATATCGAATCAAATAGCAGTTAATCGGTCAAATCATATAACACAGCTATTAATATCAGGATTATCTTGCTACTCTAGCAAAATATCTAGAGTATTATAAATTAATCTCAAGTGTTTTATATTTAACTACAGATTTACTAAACAAAAATATAATTGCACTAATATACATTAAAAGAGCACCTCAATGGAAAAAATCAGCCTAGATTTAACAATCGAAAATGTTATTATTTTCAACTACGCTGTCATATGTTAAAAAAGTATATAAAAATATTTAGAACAGTTACGAGTTGACATATTTTATATATATTTGTTTTTAAAAAAAGCTTTTCTGAATCTTTAAAATAAATAGCTTATAAACTACTTTTTTTTTTATTTTTAATTTATATAGTAATCTATACAAAATAACTATAATTAATTAATATAAAAAAATTTTAATTTTAATATAAAAAAATTAATTTGGTTTTATTTTTAAGATTTATAAAAGCTTTTTTTTAAAAACAGATATATAATTTATATATTAATTAGATATATGAATACCTACTTTATGTAGATATTTATGTTAAGTAGATATCGTAAAAGTGCATATATCTTGGTATCTGTTATCATAATATATCAGCTGATGCAGTCGATGTTTAAAATTACCTTAATAATAAAAAGTAGTATTATCTATTACTTTTTTTAATAGTATTGACAGCACTGACACCCTTATTTAATTCATGGTTTCAGGTGAAATATTGTTGGTGTTTGCTGGTGTTTTGATTTGTTTACGTGCATTTCTAAGAATCTTCTTTAATATTAGCCACTTGGATTTTATAATTTAAGAACATTTAAACATAATAGTATTTAGGGAATCGTGTTAGAGCGGTAATTTATTTGTTTGCGAATATACACAACATTACGCCGATTCACAATGGAAATTGATTCAGCATTAGCTGATGTCCTTTTTGTTATTGAAGGCACAGCAATTAATGGCTCATATATAAATGAACTTAAAAGCAATTATATTCTACCCACTGTAAGTGTAGTAAAATATACGAACTATATATATATAAGATATATATTATAAATAATTTATTTTTAGTTGGAGCACTTTACTCAAGGTGCTATAGATGAACGCGAGTATCTCATATCGGAGCGACATTCCACACAATATGGTATTGTGCTTTATCGTACAGCAGCAAATCTACTAGAGCCATCATGTAATACGTACGGACCATTCGCAGCACCACAAAAGGTTTGATAAAATACAAACGAAATAATACTTGAAATTGAATAATAAGATTTGTACATCTTTTTAACTAGGTAATGGAAACTATAGAACGGCTACCGTTAGTTGGTGGTGGTATGGAATCATGTGCAAATATGGCCGAAGGTTTTGCTACAGCTCATTGCTGTTTTGATGACATGCACGAGCTGCGTAAACAAAACATGATAGACCCCTTACCTGTGCAACGTCACTGTGTACTTATTTGTAATAGTCCACCATACTCAATGCCGGTTATGGAATGTTATAAATATATCGGAAAAACAGTGGAGCAATTGGCCGGTTTATTTCATGAGCGTAAAATTAATTTATCAATAATAGCACCACGTAAAATTCCTGTACTATTTAAGATTTATATGAAAGCTGATGGTGATCAACCTTTGCCAGCAAAGAACTATGCAAAAAATATACGTCATTTAGTTTTACTTAAAGGCTATCATCTTAAAGAGCGTCCACCAAGTCCAAATACTGTAACACAACAACAACAAAATCAAATGGTCGCGCCAAATATGAATCAAACGCAAAATCAAGCACAAGCTCAGCAACAACAACAATTACAGCAACAGCAAGCACCTATGCCTATGGATACTAATCAAAATAATCAACAACAGCAAGTACATGTTGCTCCGGGTAATATGAATACTGGGCCACCAACTCAACTTACACAAAGTGCTTTAAATCAACAACTTTTGCAACAGCAGCAACAACAACAGCAGCAGCAACAACAACAACAGCAACAATTTACAGGACCAAATGCTAATCAAAATCCTATGCAAAATCCAAATTTTCAGCCAAATGTCAATCCACAAAATCGCTGGATTATTGCTTCCAATCAACAACCACAAGTACAAGCGCGTCCTCAGTTTATGCCTGGTGGTCCTGGTGCTGGACCGATGGTGCCAAATCAAGGTATGCCTGGTCCAAATCAAAATTCGGCGCTCATTTCACAATTAAGTGCGCCACCAAATCCAACAGTAAATCCACACTTCCAGCAACAACACATGCGTTTACAGCTTATCAATCAACAGCATCAGCAGCAACAGGCACAACAACAACAGCAACAACAACAACTGCTGCAACAACAATTGAATCAACAACAGCAACAACAAAATCAGGCACAAAACCAACAAACGCAACAGCAGCAGCAACAACAACAACAACAGCAAGCTATGAATGTGCAAGGTGGACCAGTGGCTGGACCTGGTGGTCAAATGCAGCAAAATCAAGTTGGTGTTTCTGTGCCGGTCGTTTCCTCATCCACCAATGAGACTGGTATGCGTGACCGTGAGAAAATTTGGACTGGCACTCTTGAATGGGTTGAAAAATCGAAACCCGACCAACAAAAAATAACACGCACACTACAGTGCACTATCAGCACGAACATTAAAGATGGTGAACCTGAAATCAAACCCGATAACTGGCCGCCCAAGTTGCTGATGCAATTAATGCCTAAACATTTGGTTGGTAATATTGGTGGACAGTTCCTTAAAGATTCTAAAATGGTGGTATTTCGACCAGTGCCATGTGAGGCACTCGATTCACTATCCAAAATGATGACAACTGGTTTTGCTGGTTGTGTACACTTCACACCTGGTCCGAATATGCCCGCTGGCGATATTAGAGTCTTAGTGCTACTGTACACACAAGAGAAGAATGCCTTTTTAGGTTTTATACCCAATAATCAATCGATGTTTGTGGAGCGACTACGTAAAGTCATACAACAGAAACAAATGGGTCAGCATACTAATGCAGTTGGAAACATGCAACAGCAGCAGCAACAAATGCAAAATCAAATGGGTGGTGAGTAAACCAAATCAAAAAAATATGTATATAAATATTACAGTGAAAGTGCAGTTAAAATATTTCTATTTTATAGGACAAATGCCTAATACAATGCCACCAAATGCTATGATGGCACAACAGGCCCAACAACAGCAGCAAAAACCAATTCCTATGGAGGTGCAACAAATGCAACAACAGCAACAGGATCAACAACAACAGCAGCAGCAGCAACAACAACAGCAGCATTATAATCAATATGCCCAACAGATGAATATGCAAGGTGGACCGATGCAACATCAACAGCAAATGACTATGTTACAGCAACAGCAAATGCCAATGGTGGGTCCAAATGCGCAACAGATGCAACAAATGCCTCCACATGCAGCCGCTGCTATGCAACAACAACAGCAGCGTATGGTGCGTCCGATGATAAGTAATAATCCTGGTTTACGGCATTTACTGCAACAAACAACACCGGGTAATCAGTTTCGTCCACAAATGGGTGCTGGTGGTCCAGGTCCTGGTGGCCCTATGGGAGGTCCACCAAATCAAATGGGTGGTGCAGGCGGGCCCATGAACACGAATCGACCATTTGATGAAAGTAATTTTGATTTTATGTAATTGCTTTTTCTCTTTACTTACAGTTTAAGTATTTATAATACTATGTCAAAGAATAAAATATTCAAATATACCTATAGGATGGAGTTACTTCATCTTCAAATATTATTTTGTATGTTTATGTTATGGAAGTGACTAAAGCGCTGTATTGTAGTATTAGTTCAAAGCTTACTTGTTAATCTTGCCCAGATCCATTTAATTATTATTATTTATTCCATACTTCATTAAGAAGTAATGTTGTTACAGCTCGCCGGGGTCTATAAAACATAACGCGAAAGGAATTACAAAGCCTTAACATTGGTTAGGATGCGAATAGATAGTAATGGCGTGGGATGGAAGGTGATTGTTAAGAACAAAGAATGGATGGCTGATTGGATGGAAAATGAAAGGTAATCTGTAACGACGTGAGGGATGAAGAGATGTGAGTAAGGCGTTTGCTAACTTAAACTAGCTTGTATGTAGGTGAACAAACCTTGATCTTATTATATGACGAAGCCATAAATCAATAGATTCCAAATTGCTATTTAAGTTGCATCATGTGAATAAATTAGTTCAGCGATGGCAGGCTGTCGACGTATAACCTACACAATGTACTGCATGTGCAACTATATTTTACTTTTTGATTTCACTATACAACAATAATTACTTTATTATTACTTTATTATATAAAAAATGTTAAAATAAACACAACAACGATTTACTAAATAATACAAATGATTTTAATTATTTTAAGGTTCTTAACCAACTAATGTTATGGCCATCTCTGCTTCAGTATATTAAACATATTTAATAATTATAATAAAATATTCGTCATATTACAAAATAAATTCTATAAAATAAAGTTCTTGCTTTCAATCATATATAACAAAAAATAAAGACAATATTTATAAAATAAAATAAATTAAAAATTACAGAAAAAATCGCAACTATCACACATTGCATTCAAAATATTTTGATTATAAATATTTGGTTCAATAAAAAATATTAAGCGCTGAGCACAATTCTGTTCATGTTTCTCAACTTTTGACTGCAATTTAGTAACTAATTCGTTGAAAACACCATCATAAAAGAAACTAAAATAAACGTATATATTATTTTATTAGTATACAAATTGAAGTAGTTAACAATCTTACCTGGAACCACACTTGCAGCTGATAATCTTACTGACACCGCTTGGTTCTAAAGTTGCTCGTTGACATATTGGACAAAATGCAGCACTGTCTTCACCTACATTTATAATATATTTTTCTTCTTCTTCAAATTGTTCTAAATACCAATCATTTAGCTCATCTTCGAGTTCTTTATAGATTTCCTCCTGCAATTTTAGATCACTTTCAATTTCCGCCAATTCATCACGTAAAACTTGTTGCATTAGAAGACGGGATTGTTCGAAACCAAGTTGACGTGCATCGCGTATACGTATGCGACATTTCTTTGTGTATAAATATAAACTGAAATATTAATTATTTCTAAATATTATATTTATATTACTTCACGCAATGTGTCTCTCAATAATTTGTTTCCATATCGATACCGTTTAGCTGCATTCTTCGACTGCAACTTCTGCTCTGCACTTGTGCGATAAACTGGACTAGTTGGACAATTCAGTGACATTGTTTTTATAAATTTTTATTTTATACCAAAGTACACAAAATTTTTAAAATAAAATCTTTAAATCGAAAATGATGAAATGTACTCGCCTACCACAAAGGCGCGTAATTTTGATTTGTTTTGCACAACAGCTGATCATTTGCACAGCCATCTGTAGTTGTTGCCACTTTGTGTGGAACTCAAGTATATGTGCAATGTGGAACTTATATCAAATAAGTGTTATTAATTTCTATATAAAGAAATTTTAATATTAAATTTATCAAATTAAGTTTTATCAAAAAAAAAATATAAGTAATACTATATTCAAACACACCTTAATTTCGCAAGAATCTTGATTACATCTTCGTTTCAGTGAAATTAAGTTTTTTTTTCCGTACAATTAAATGATCTTAATTTCGTTGAAACAAAGGTAGAAATTAAGAAATATTTCAAATGCAACTATGCGTTAGATAAATCTTAAGTAAAAGATAAAGTTGAGATGTAGAAATGGAATGAAGTATTGTGGTTTGACTGCCTACCTTCATAGTTCATCATAATTCGTTATATGGCTGTCTAAATAGCGTAGCCGCTCAAAAGTAAACTATGACAAATATTAGCTCTCTTCGCATACACTGTAAATAAATTTATGAAAGTAATATGAAAGTAATAATATGACTATGAGTAGTATAAAAACTCTTCGGGGCATGTTGTGATTGCCGGGACGTAAGTGCAATCACAGCATATGTTACCCCTTAAATACATTGATTAAAATTGATTCTAGCAGCACAACGATTCTAATATGATGTCAGCATTCTATAAGCATTTTAAATTTTTTTATTAGATGTTCTTACCATTTGAAAACTTTGATATAGATAATACAGATTTTAAATGGTATGTGCGTTAATATATCAAACTTTTTTACAATCTATTTTAAACTGACCAAAAAGAGCTAAAAATGCACTAATAACTTTTGCAATATTTTGCTAATATTTGTAATTCATCACCACTTAAAACACACCACAGTATTTTTTTATATGAAAATCTGCTACGGGTTAAGCCCTGTGTAAATGAAAACCAATTTACGATTATAAAGTTATTCGTAAAATTTGATCTGCTCGAGTTTTGTGAAATCACAACGGTTGCCTTTAGCCATTGTACTCTTCACATTAAAGATTCTATAATAATAGGATTAATAGACTTTTTAATATAAAATAAATAAAGACATCTAATACTAAGCCTCTTTATTTCTCTTTAAGAGGTGGTTTAAAGTTTTACATTATGACTTGGCTGTCCATGATTTGCAACTACAGCAAAAAAATAAAAAGAAGTTGTAATTCTTACAGCATAAGGTCTTGAGACGAATGTTAATTTTGGTACTGTCTTCCTGTTTTCGATAGTCACCAATATTCAGTTATATATTACAGTTCATATGCCTTAATTAATTACATTGAAAACAAAATATGTACATGGCATTACATTGTTTTAATTGTTTAATTTAAATAAATACGTAAATTTAACATTTATTGTCCTTAACAGAAATTTAAAGCTAATAACACTTTTGCACTTATAAAGCTAATTTCGATATGGGTCTATCGAGTAACAATTTGCTTAATGAAGCTGGCACGCTACCACTAAAACCGGCGGTAGCACCGAGTCCACTACCAGCAGCGCCACCCTCAGGAGTCACTGAATTTCTGACTAATTCACGTAAACTAGCTGATATCTTTGCTGTCTTCGACAGAGCTTCATTACGACGTTGGCGCTTCTCCACAAAACGCTGGCACTTAGTGCGTTTCTGATCTATGTGGTCTTTCAATAGTTCACGCTTTTGCTTTTCAAATACCTGCACATCACGCCAATGCTCATCATGCATCAGCTGCTCCACATAATTAGCATAACGTATACGTTTCAAATAGCTGCCCAACATCCGCGAGCGTATCTCATCGGCACGCTGTAAGCGCTCGGTGAGGCGATTGCATATTTCACGTTTTCGTAGGGTTTCATCCAATTGCTGTTCCTCTTGCTGCACATTTACAGCTTCCGCCTTACGTAGCTCATCGCAGCGTCGTTGACATATTGTTATATCACGTTCAACACGCAGTGCATCAAGACGCCGTTTTGTTTTTTTGTCCTTCTCTTGCAGCAGTCCGCGAAGTCGTTGCAGTTCCGTCAGGTCGCGTTGCGCGATTTCATTTAGGCGTGCTTTTGTGAATAGATAATCTTGAAATTGTTTATCACGCACAGCACGCTTATATTCCTCCATCTGTTCTACTTTTATCAATTCTCGCTCGTAGCGTTCGTTTTCCCAGTATTTTTGAGCCAACCAAGCATTTTCTTTGGCAGTAGCTTTCTCACTTCGCTTATTCGCCATGCGATTCAATATCTTCTGATCATGTGACGGCACTCGTTGGTAAGCTTCGCGTACTGTTGGTGCTAAACACAGATTCGCCATTGATTCACTTAGTTTTAAGGGTGATAATGTGAGTTTAGTGTCAGTCGCAATTGCTTTTGTTGAACAAGTTGGCAGTTCACCCAAACTGGGCCAGGGTGGCAGTTTCTTAAAGGAAGTACTGTTTCTCGTTAGCATGCTACTACGTTTACCAGAGATTTTAAGCCCTTCAGTCGGCTGATCTAGTGAAGTCAATAGTTCTTGCAAAATCTTACAGTCTCGTGTGTATTGTGTGGATATATCCGAGACACCACTTTGACTACGTACACTCCCGGCGCTTTTTGAACGTTTCTTTATTGTTGTTGTTCTTAAGAACTCCGGGGATGTACTCTGACGTATTGGAGTTGTTTTAGCACTTTTGGATGTTTTATTGGTGGAAGCATTTTTCTTTTTCTTTACTTTGGATTTTTTGGCCACACCATTTGTTGTCGTTTTCTTACCATTACCCGTTTTCTTAATTGCAGTATTGGCAACCTTGGGTTCTGTTAGATTACAAATATCGTTAAACTCATCGAAACCACAGCAATCTGTTGAAAATTTCAAACCCGTTATACTCAAATCATCAGAACTTCGATGCGAATTATAACAATCACAATGGCAAATCTCACAACAACTGTCGCTTAGGTTCAGGTTATCTAACTCCTCCAGCAAACGAGCATGTGCTTTCCTTTGTGTCTCAACGCGGGACTGGCGATTCATTTTCTGTTTGTAGAAAAGTAAAGGAATTTTTAATGACCATCATATACTACAAATAGTTTTCAACTTTACCCTTAATTTTTATTTTCGTCAGTCTCATTTTTCATTCCTTAACCGATGCAACTGCTCGACTTCAATCTATCTGGGTCAATAGTTGCAAATTAAAGTACTGCACTTTTTCTCTGCTCCATGAGTGTATTTTTATTTTGATTTTCACTTTTGTTGTGTTGAAGAGGAAATAGGAAATTATAAATAAAACTCCATTTGCTTTATTTTTGTTTACATTTTATTGATTTCCAGACTGGTTGCTATGGTCACTTCTTACTAATTTGTTGGAAGGTTAACCTTTGGAATTTTCGTAAAAGCTATTTTTGTCAGTGATATTTCAAAATTCCTTGACGAACTGTTATTAAAATTTAATTAATATTGTTTCCTAACTTTGGCAATGTTAGGGGCATCTATTTGGTATTACTAACTTCTGGTACTATATAATAAGTTCTATTAACTGAAGATAAAGAGAACAAGAGGAAATTACACTGATTTAGTTGAGTTGAAAAATATCAACAAGTTTTATTAAACAGTGTACACTCTGTTAAGCGAACACTTCCACGAATATCTCTGTTAAGCGGGCAATGTATGTATACCCTCCCATTTTTCATATAATATGCGTTTGTTAGGTTAGGTTATATCCGCGAATCCAATGAAACTACTTAGTCTTATAGGCCCATTGTGTTACTGTACAATTAAAAACTCAAGACTTAAAACCACTTAGAACCTTTGGCAAAATACATTTGTTTGCAGGGATAACTCTTTTATGCAGACAGATTCATGTTCGGGCAGTGTTCACTTAAAAGAACATTCACTATAATAACAAATCATCATATCCATACAAATGTTATTGATTAAAAGCTGGGCAGCTCGATGGTTCATAATGAAATCAACGTTTCTTCTCATAGAAACAAGATTTTTTGATTAACCTTTTTGTTCCATGGTGAGATTCTAAAGGGAATAGCGAATAAATTACTAGTGACATGAAGGCCTGACTACCTCTGAAATCTACATATTATGTAAGTAACATAATTTCTTCCTTTAAATGTACTATAGAACAGTGTTACATCATTAAATGAAAATCCTAAACTTGGCATTCTATATCTTCCAATTCATATCTGAGAATATTATTATTATTACTCAAGGTCAGGAAAAGCTGTTTTGGTTACCCTTTCTGTTTAATGCTGGGATCTCAACAGCTGTAGCAAATAAATACCAAGTAACTGTGGCCTGTAGATCTGACCACTTCTATAATATATAGATAATGTTAGTAACCGTCTTTACTTCTTTTAAAATTAAATCTATTAAATAATATACGACTGAAACGTGTTATATCGTAAAATGAAAACCTAACCTTACCTAACCTAACTCTATCTTTCAATTCATATTTAAGGGTATTATTATTTTTATCAGAGGTCAAGATACCTCATCTGAATCATACCATTTGAGATATAGGTTTTCTCTAAGTCTTTTTCCGTCAATTACCGCTTGAAACATTTTCTACTTTGATCACAATTGTAGACACAGTTTTTCTTGAAATGTTTTTCCTCCAGTTGCCGTTTATCTTTTTGATCATCCATTTTCATCACCAAGCTAGAGAATTCTGGATGCTAGATGTTAATTCGCTGAATAATCTTAATGATAAGAGAGGCAGTACAACTTTCATTCTTAGTTCTTTCGGATTTGGTAACCGATAGCAACTCGTAGAGGACTCAACATTTTACGAAATATAGATATATGTATATATATTAATATATGTATATAAATGAATATATGTATTTATGTATATAAACATATGTAAATATATGAAATAAATATTTTTTTGATTTTTCCATAAATTCTAATTTAAATTAAAAAATATTTATTTAGAAAAAAAAAACCCAAATTATTTTTAATAATTCATTTTATTATTTTTGTTATTTATAGACTTTTTTTAAATACAATATATAATAAATTCAATATACATCAATATATATATAACAGTTTTATATACTTATTAAATTTTTTTATCAATAAATAAGGTAATTATTTAAAAATATTTTAAAACAAATTGAATATTTTAACAGTTGCTTTATATTAAGAGCACAAATTTATAACAAATAATATTAATAACAAATAAAACAATATTATTAATTTATAACAGTTAATATTATACACAATATTTTCATATAATAAAATAATTTTAATATATTGAAAATATATAGAATTAGTTAATTTCCTTAAAAATTATATTTAAAAATTTATAATAAAAAATCAAACAATAATTAATTGTTAATAAGTAAAAAAAATAGTTGAATATATAAAAATTAAAAATACACAAAAAACCTTATTAAACCAAAATCATCCATACATAATACCATCAAGTGTTCCTTAACATCCTATTAAAATTTTAAAACCTGATATAATAAAGTTATATATACCATACAATAAAATTAATTTTTTATGTATACATTTCTAAAACAGTTTTAATATTATTATAGTATATATTATATAGCAACAGTAAATAATTTAACTATAATACTCGTACTATTTATACAACGCTACATTTTATTTATACAACTCGTATATATTTATAATAATATTATATTATAAATTATTTAATATGTATGTATGCCACTTTAATATGTTTTAAAGTTTTTAGTCTTAATATTAAGTCAGAAGATGGTATACACAATTAAGAAATTTATTTCATATACATATAATATTAATGATACTATATAAACATAAGACCATATAATTATATTATATAATATATAATTAAGACAATATACAAACAAAAACAATAATCTTAATTAATACTTATAACAAAACCATTAAAGCAAACAAAATAAAAATAAATAATACGGCGATTACCTCTATAAACCTAGACTTCTTCGATTTAATGAAGCCCTACCTTGTGTAATCCCTTAATGGGATTTACAAGCTTGATAGGGTAGGTATAATCTAGATGAGGTATTCAGTAACTATATGGTTGCCATCTAAGAACGCCAGGTTGTCTCGTCCTTTCACCACTCCCCAAAGGGATTCTACAAGCTAGTTAGGGTAGTTATAATCCAGATGAGCTATTTGGTAACCATATGGTTACGGATACACTAACCGCTAAGACAGTATTAACTTTTTCAACTTACAATTGATTCAAGGAATGAAATTTACACGGGTCATCACACATAGAGATATGAATGTACGTATTTATATATACTAATTTAAATACATAGAAATAGGTAAATCCTAAATTAGTTGTCTGATAATCGCAGGTTACTAATATAGTATTACTGATATGCTTTCCAGTAACACTATACTACTTTAATATTATAGTCTTTTTAAAACGAGAAAAAATGTCTATAACTGGAGTTCAAGTAAATGTCTAGACACTGTCTTCTTTCATATACTATATTCACACTGGGCCTTCACATAAGTCTATCTTTATATACATACACATATATATAATTTAAATACATATAAATATTCTTATTAATATATTACTTTATATGAATTATATCTTGATTATATTAATTTAAACATGTACTAGCATCTTTCGATCCATAATATAGGATGTAATAAAATATATAGAATATAATATATAATATAAAAGGAATAACAAATAAATTATAATCCGGGAACTGGCTATTAAGGCATTTGGTTGTCTTTTATATAAAATTAAGAGGGTTCGAAAGTATTATATGACATGGAGTTTATGACAATCTGTTAAAGTATTATATAAAATTAGCATCTTGTCATGTGATAGATTCACTAGATGTCCATTAGGGATTAATTCATAAAGTAGAAGGGCTTTATATGTATGGTATTCAGGCAGCTATTAAAGCTGTGATCAATGGATGCTGAAGTGTTATTAAATTACAAACACTGCAATCTTTTGTCACTCGGTACAGGCAAAATATCTGTTAAATTACTCAACTCCATGGAATAAACCTAGTTTTTATTTTTTAAATGTTTACAGGGAATATAGTAGTAACATGGCGAATAATCAGAAGTGATAAGGATAAATAATGAAGTGAAACTCCATTGTGACCAACAGGAAAGACCACCATATCAGACAACATATTTACGATTATATATGTATATATATATATAAAAAGTTAAAAGGATAATAAGAATTTAATTTATTAAAATAAAGAATTTAATTTATATAGTTAAAATATTGTGTTTATGAAAAGATATTAAAAATATAAAGTATATAAAAAAAAAAAATAAACATAAATATATATTTTTGTTTTTTAAAATGGTTTATGTGAATAAAAAATTTTAAATTAATTTTTATTTTTATATAGTATTTTATTTTATTATTTAGTTTATTATATTTATTTCAGTATAGTACTAAAATTAATTTACAATTTTTTTATTTTTTATTCACATAAGCCTTTCCAAAAAATAGAAACAATTAAAAAAGTGAATTCAATATTAGTCTATATTAAATATATATTATCTACATAAATATTTGAATTTTAGATTTTATTTTATTATTAAATTTAAAGGAAGAACATTAGCCAATTAAAAATTTTTTTTATAAATAAATTATATCAAATTGTAATTTACGTATTTGTAAAATTTTACTAATATATACGAATGAAGCTCAAAATGTTAAATTTGATATGGCTTATTAAAATTAATAAACAAAAGAAATTATTTGTTTTGTATTTTACATAGTTTTTACTTAATATTGTACGAATATTTAATACAATAATTTTTTTTAAATACTGCTATTTCACTATAATGAAACTATCTATATACAATAATTCAAATAAGTAGATAATATAAATTTGTTATTAAAATCTTAGATACTTTTAAAATAATAATTATATTTTTAAATTTATATATGTGTACATATGTAAGTAGATTTGCACGTATGTAAATAAACATATGTACATAAATTATTATATATTTATATATATAAATATTATAAAAATTAATAAATAAATATTTAAAAAAATTAAAATTTGTAATAAAATAAAATTAAATTCTTCATCTACGTCTTTCTCAAAGTGGACGTTAAAAATTAATTTAATAATAAAATGAATTATAAATTATTTGATATAATTACAATCACATAATTTACAAATGTATTATAAATATTATACATATAATATAACTTATAAATATATAAATATAATATAATTTATAAATATATAAATATAATATAATTTATAATGTTTTCCAAAGATATTGTAAATATAATTTATGTAATATAATTACAAAAGTTATATATATATTTATAATAATTTAATTCGCAAAAATATAAATATAATACATATAATTATAATTTTCAAAAATATAATTATAATATAATTTATAAAAATATTATAAATATATTATATATAATATAATTACAAAAAATATAATAACATAAATATATATTAAAAAAAATTATAAATATAAAAATAAATAAAATATATATATTTAACTTTTGGAAAATTATTTCATACATTTAGTAAAATGTATTGATAAATTATATTTTGTATATTATATATATTAACAAATGTGTAACATATTTTCAATAAATAATATTATACATATATTTTTATAATTTTTAATAATATAATTTTTATAATAATTAATCATAATATATATATGATATTTAAAAATAAAAAATATAATCATAATTCCTGAATATGTCGATATATTTTTAAATAACATATTGATTTATAAGAGTACTATTAATAATGTCATTTATTAAAATAAATTTATGTAATTTGTTTTAAATATTATTATTGTTTCTTAGTTGATTTTATTTAATTAAATGTCTTTCAGTAGGAACGATATATCTTTGAATTGGTTTTTTCTATTAGTTTTTTTTATTAATTTCAATTATTTTGTTATAAATTTTTAATAAATATTTTTATATGTATATTTACAAATACATTCAGCTAAAAAACAGGATTAATTAGTTTTTAAAGATTTATCGCACTTAATGAAAGACTCATCTCTGACGATCAAAGGACATAAGTCATTTTTCAGCGAAGAACTAAACTTGGAGATGTATATTAGGTTTTTTTAAGGTTCCAAAAATAACAATATTGGGTTAAGTAATTAAAAATTCACACTGGTGTTTAGTTTAAAATGATATAAATTAATTCACGAAGACACTTTACACAAAGACTGTTCACACTGATTGTCATAAATAAATTAATTTATTACATCTATTAAAATTACTGAATAATATACAGTATGTGCACAAAAAAAAATCGGGTTGTTGGGTATATATTATACACCCTTTCTTGACTATATGTCAAGAAAGGGTGTACCAATATAACAAACAAATTTTTTTTGAAAAAGGTCTATTACTTAAGAAGTAGTTAACAAACAACAAAATCCGGATACTTTTTGAGCAGAAGGTAATTACATAGGAATATTTCTAATTAAAGAATTATTCACCTACAAAGGAATATTTCAATATAATAGAATATTCACATAGAATCAATATTTCTACATCAAGGAATATTCGCAAACGAAGGCATAATTCATATAAAATAATATCGATACGATTTTCTAAAACTCTTACTTAACCCAATATTTATAATATATTAAAAAATAAAATAACGAAATACTGTAAACTTCAATACAACACGGGTATATATATATATAGCATATGTATACAAGACATACATTATTAAATAAATTTATGCAAGTTCAAACACGATTCCAAGTTATAAGTTTCTATTGGATCATGTCAAAACCAGTTATAAAGGACCGGGGTTTACGAGAGTCTATTGCATTTAAGAGATAATATAATAAAAATAGATAGGAATCATGAGTTTATTATGTTTAATTAAATACAATGCTAAACATATAATATTGCTTTTATATTACTTATAGATGTCTTCAGAAGATATCTAAATTGTATTATTTCATATATGCCAGTTATATGAACAGAAGTTCTAGCCAGTTAAACTGAGCAAAATGTTAATACTAACCTAAATGGGAGGAAATTACAGAATATTATCATATATTTAAAATAACTATAGGGAATTATAAAGCTAATATTAGCATTAAACTTTGTTACATATATTATGTTTAAAATAACTAAATTCATACTATATGCATGACTTATAACTGTACTATCTTTAGCTAATATTGCAACATATGAAGTAACATGAACAACTAACAACTGCTAACTTTAAACATGTGTTGCTGATTATATCGCTATTTGTGTTTTTGTTTGCTACATTTAACAAGGTTTTTTAGAATTCCCTAGAGAATTACTACAACAATATGTTTAAATATTAACAAGAACAAACTAAATGCTTTAAGTTATAATTTATATAAAATATGTACTAATTTTACTAGCCGTACGCACAAATAATTTCTATCTTAAACTGAATAATTTTTCCCTGCAGTAAATAAAAATTAACTTAATCCCATAAAAATACTTAAAATACATGCCATATATGAACGTATAATTTAGTTGATTTTCCTCAATCAAAGGTCAGTGCTATTGAGGTTAACGGAAGAGCTGGACAAGTTGGTTCAAGTTGTAAAGCTGTAGCCATACAATCTGCTGAGGCAGCGTAATCACCCAATGTCTCCATAACTTTACCTAAACTGAACCTATTTGGAATGAAAGCAGAAAATAAGCTATAAGTCATATACTTTATAATTACAAGATAAACTAACCAAATTCTCGGACAGTTGGGATCTAATTTAGCAGCATCTTTAAGAAATTTTTCTGCTAAACGTGGTTCACCCAATACATGATGTGTTTCACCTAAAGAACGTAAAGCTTCAGTATGATTTGGATTGGCAGCTACAGCATTAAAGAAACATTGTTTAGCATCATTCCATTGCTCCAAGTAAACACAAATTAATCCTCGCTAAAAAAACAAAAACAAAAGAGATTTAAGAAAATAAATTTTATTAAATAATTTCCATTGTTATATACATACCATAAACATGATTTGGTGTGAAAGTGGATAGATTTGTGACGCTTCTTGTATGCAATGCAGTGCTTCATTTGGCTGATCAATATTAAGGTAAACATCGGCGAGTAGTAGCCAAATCTGTAATAATAAAAAAGAAAACTTTATTTAATATTTCATTCAGTATGACTCCACCACAAATATTCTAAATCTTCAGTGTCTTTTTTTACAGACCTAACAAAGCTGTTATTATTTAGGGGCTTGCTAAGTTTAGAGACTTGTAAAATTTCTTTACTATCACTTGAATGCGGGAGTCGTGCCTTTAGCTTTGTTTATACATTGACCATTGAAGTCTTTTTGGAGGTCATTCTGGTTTGAAGTCGGCTTTAAGCAAAAAGGCGCCACCCCAACTTAATAGATCCTATTTCGGTTTGAAAACTACTGCAGTGTTCTGATAAATGGAAGAATGTTTTCAAATAAAGACAAGTCGCAAAGATGTCTTATGTTGCCTTATGAATGTCTTATGTCCACAGTAGGCTTTTTAAATATGGCTGAAAGTTTTATATCATAAGCTAGAACTTGATACCTAAAAAAGTTTTGTTGCTAATAGTCTTATACTTTTTTAAAGACAACCGCTATTGCAATGAGTGCAGCCATCTTTTTAAGGTTCTATATATTTTTTATTTTAATCAAGAGCGTTAGTTCTATGCTTAATTTTTACAAGTGTTAAGATCGTATTTAAATATATTTCCACTTAGAGCCTACTTTACAGTCATTATTTTGGAACGATTTAATTCATAAAGTTGACTTAAGCATAATCATTTTAATACAACTTAAATTATAAAAAAATTATGCATAATTTGAGTCATAAAACTCATTTAAACATAACTTAATACATAAAGTTAACTTAAGTATAACTTAAGTCATAGAGTAAACTTACTCACAACTTAAGTTATAAAATTAACTTAAGCATAACTTAAGTTACTCTTGTTTCTGACTTGAACATGATATATACATTTTCGTTTCAAACTAAAATATTTTCAAGTGAAACAATATTTTATATTAAAACAATATAACAGTGCAATATGCATAAAACAAATTTTTTGCACGCTACTGACTCTCCGTTTGCTTGCATTCAATTATATATATCTCTGAAGTTCTTCACAAGTTCCTCCTGCTTAGCAATCGTATAATTCTTAGAGCGCATTTGATTTGCGATTATTTAAATAAAAATATTTTAAAAAAGTTTTTTTCGAATAATAGTTAACTACAACAACAAAAATTTAATTTGGTATTATTTTAATTAAATGAATTTTTGGCTGACCATATAGCTGTTTCGAGTATTGCCAAATACCCGTCATCAGTGGTCTTAGGAATAATTCTTGTATTTAATTATTTGTAAATAATTTTTTGAGACTCCAAGTACCAGGAATCGGACTCGTGTCCTGCTAAATTTGAAGCTCAGAGTCAGCGCACTTTAACCAACTGACCCAAAACCGTACTTGACTTTAATATTTTATAAAAAAATTGAATATACTCAGAAGAATGAATTTCATAGAACTAAATTTTATTTACACATCTAAATTCTAGTTTATGTCAATTTAAAAACACAGTAAAAGAATCACATGATTTCAAATAATGCTATCAGCTTCAAAATGAAAGTAATAAACAACTGTTTCGTAACTTAAGTCTTGCTTAAGTCATTCACTTTAAAGATCTGTTTCGCACATCTTTGCATGGATTTTGTATGGAAACAGTAATTAAACTCAATAGGCTTTTCAAGATAAACTCGAAAAGGAGTTAAATACAATAGTCTTCTATAAGTGGAAAGCATCGAAAGCCACGGTGTGAGACTTTAACCCAATAAAACCACCCTAGTATAAGATAGTCTTCAGTTACTTATATATAAATTTACCTTAATTTGTATCATCCAAGGTCGCTGTGGTCCAGGTCGTGGCGTAAATGAACTGAGCGAACTAGCAGCTTCACTTAAGGCTTGTTCAACACGTGACACTGCAGCCAAGGAAGCAGCATAAACGGAACCTATGTAGAAGATAACAGTTTTTATAAAATACAGCATAAGATATAATATTTATTTATTTTGAATGCAAGAGAAACTTGAAGATGAACAAATTTAATAAACTCTAAATGCTACAATTACAAAAAAAATATTAAATCATTGAGTTGAGTTATAAAATAGAGAAGCATTAAGTGTGTGTTTTTAAGAGTTTAATTGAAACTTCTACGATTGTAAATAGCAAAGAGAATAATTGCAAAACTTTAAAAGCAAATTGAAAGATGCTGGAAGTTTTTTTTTATCAAAAATTACAAATACAAATGGAAAAAATATTTTTAAATAAAGTATATTAACTACAACTTACAATCAGCGAGTTTATATCCAATATATATACAGTTTAAAATAAATAAATTTAGAATAAAATTTTTAATAATTTATTTTATAAAAATTTTTGTATTTTTAAAAAAAATCTATAATCATTTAAAATCAAAAATATTATTTGGATAAATTTTAATTTAAATTATATGTAATTATTTTTTAGTTACATAATTTTGTCTTTCAATTCTAGGCTATAATTGAGTAATTAATTATGATTAATAATTGAACCTTTTAAATCTAAATAAAAGTAGGCGAATCTTGACTTTATATAGAGCAATCATTTTTTAATAATTTTTAAATTAAAGAAGTTGTTTAAATTAATATAGTTAAGGCAGCCTAAAATTAATTAATTACTATAATCCGCTCATTATTGTGGATTAAGAAATCAATATAGTTCTGGAAATTAAAGGGAAGAGAGAGTTTCGTAACGCTTTAATCAAGTTTGGATTATAGAACAGTGATCTATAGGTAACAGATATGGGTTATGATATGATTAGGTAAAAGAAGTGTGAGAAGGGAAGGGATTGATGCGATTTTAATTGAAGTCAATTTGATCCAAGGATTAGGATTAGCCATGGATTAATTTTCAAATTGGTGTATGCTTTGAAACATGAAAGCCACTTTAATGACACGGAGCTAAAGATTAATTCGACTTAAATTACTGTGTGCCTTGAGACATAAAAAAAGATGTGTGATATAATAGGGGATTAGTTGCTGTTAGGGCAAACATTGGGAATTAAAGCATTCAAGCGTGACAAGTAACTTTTTAGAACATGACTATATTGGACAACTGGACTAGAATAGTGCATTCTGCAGCGGAAAGCGTCGTTCTTCCTAGAAAATATTATTTGAAGGCCTATTGAAAATTTTACTGCAATGCAATCGTGGTCTTGAAGACGGTACGCATCTGCGAGGAAGGCTGTTTATATATACTATCACTATATAAAGGATAAAGATGTCAAGAACAATCGGATCTATGTCCTCTCGTCTAGTTTGATGACCAAGTGTTGTTCCCTACACATAAAAGTGACTACAAAAACAGATCTTTGCGGGCTGGACCAACTACAAAATATCTAAAGAAAGGATTAAATATAAGCTCCACACTTTTTCAACTTTTATTAAGTTAGTCTTATAGCGTATAACGTTAAAGGTTAATTATAGGATAATTTCATATATATAGGTTCTTTTTTATGCTTTTTACTTAATATATCTTTACGACAGTTCACAATTTAAATTTAATTTCTTTCTAGATTTGCTAAAAAAAATTTTAAATATAACATAAATTCACATCAAAATTTCTTGTATATAGATTTCATATTTCAATTAGTCAATTTATTTATATATTATACACCTGGATTATATCTGTTTCTTTATTGTTTATAATTAAATACTATATACAATGTTTTATAATAATATTAGTGTAAAAAAAGACAATCAAACTTACTTGAATCCTTATCAGACATTTGTGATGTTTGCATGTGCAACACAATACTTTTCGTATCCGAATGCTTTTCTTCTTCAACATTTATTTGTCCTTCATACAGATCACGCCAAATGGCCAACATACGATGTACACTGATCAGAGCAATTTCAGCGTCTTGTAAATGCAATTGCAGGTGGGCTTTAACATGTAATAAATTCAAATTATCTGGAAATTCTTCAAGCGCATCTTCTACAACATTTAAAGCCTCACGCGGGCGCCGTGAAGCAGTGAGTAGAAGGGCAAATAAATGCAAACTGGGTGCATGTTCGGTACGCAAAGCTAAAGCGAAGCGTATATGTGTTAATGCCTCAGTTATATTATTAACTAAAGCGTATTGTAAGGCTAAATAATACTCGCAAAGATGATCATTGCCATCATTTTGCACAGCTTTTTCCAGTGCATCCAAAGCTTGTTTATTGTACGCATCACGTTCGGCTTTAAGTAATGATTGTATAGCCAGCTGTTGGTAACCAATACCAACATAAAGTTGACTGCGGGAAGGACGTAAACCTTTATTCAAATAAAATAAAAGGTAGTGTTAAACACTTTTTTAGTAATAATTGAACAAACTAAATAATAAATACCTTTTAATTCTCTTTTGAGCGCTTGTTGCGCAAAATCTAAACCTTCCTTAGTTAAACCTAATGACTCATAGCAGATACGTGCTGCCATCAAGCAGGGTAAAGGATCACCTGGTGTAATTTTCATTGACTCTTGTAGTACTCTTAGCGCTTGCATATGTTTACCAGCTGCCATTAGGCAAATACCATATTGACGCCACACATGCTGTTCACCAAATGAAAACTTTAGTGCTTTCTCAAATGATTCTGTCAAAAGATTGACTAGTCCCCAACGTACTGTGGCTAATGTTAACAAATCATAAACAGCTGTAGCATTGCCCATGGCATGCTGACGTGCTACACGAAATTCTGGACTTTGTGAGAGCACGGTATCGCGTACAGCTAAAGCTTCAGCAATTAATAATAATAATATTGTTTCCTCATGTTGATTACGTGGTGTGAATTGATTACGTGCTGCATATTTTCTTGGTTTCCATAAACGTTTTGTTGTTGTTGTACGCATAGCTTGTCCCGCTGGTTTTTTAATAAATGGTGGTGTATAAATAGTGCCTGAGACACCACGTAGCAGCACCTCAGCTAATTGACGTGCCAGAGTCAGTCTAAGTGATTGCGTGGTTTTAGTTTCTATGGCATTCAACATAGTACGATATCTTTCAATGGCATCTTGCAGTTTACCCGCTTTAATGAGTACGATAGGAGCACGTTGTAGTGCTGTTTCCAGTATGGTACCCATACGTCGATTTATTTCTAATGGATTGGCGGGTATTGTAGAACTAATCGCTAAACTGCTGGCAGATGGTTGTACGGTGGAATTGACTGCAAGCGTTGTGCCAGCAGTACTATTTGGCGTTGAATATGTAGCAATATCCTGTTCTTGTAAATATAATAGTCCTAAGTCGGTGGCACGTTCAAAACATGATATCTAGTTGTGAGGGAAAATTATTAAAATTTTTTGGAAAAGTTTATTATGAGAACAGCTACCATTTCAGTTTCTTTTTCAGCTTTTTTAAACTTTGATGATGGCTGATTTGTTTGATTTTCTAAGCAGAGACCCTTAATAGCATAAGATTCTGCTAATATTTTTAGGCTGCGTCTGTAAAAGAAGAATTTGCAAAGGTGAAAGTAAATGGAATGGAAATGGTATGTATTATAGGTCGTTATATATGTAACTAATACATAACAACAGATTTATTATATTAGTATATACTTACAATGTCAGTTCTTTTTCTGCCAGTGTATTTAGCTCAGCCTTAACAAAATTCTCTAAACTTTTTTCGTATTCTCCACAAGCGAAACTTAATTTGGCTAATAGTAGAAAAGCATCTAGTGCAATCCCTGCTTTTTGTCCATTTTCACCCGTGACAAGATTTAGACTACGTCTTGCATCATGCAGACCAGTTTTGGCTTTGCTGAAATTGCTTTCGATGGGTGCATTATCTTCGAGGTAGTTCTCCAAACGTGCCTCGCCAATAAGAAAATTCGCCAGGCATTCTAAAGAAAGAAAAAAATCATAAATACTATGTATAAAAGATTTTTTTAATACGCATTTAGATTATAATTATTCTTATTACTTATTTTACGCACTTTGATTTCTCGAGCACTGAATCATGCTAAAGAAAGCAATCATTCATTTGATATACTAATTAATTAAGTTAAATACGTAATTATAATCCGTAACATAATTACATAAAAAAAAATACCATTATTTGGTGACCCTGTTTTTAATTCCTCGGTCAGCTCAATTACTCGTTGCCATTTACCCTCACTTCGACAACTCTCGATAAGTGCCTCCACTTTGGTTGTATTCCGCATTCTGCCGGTCATATTTGTGAGTCTTCTAAGTCAAGGTTTATTGTTGACCCTAAAACACACTACACTGCCCACCCTTCCTGTTCTTACACCAGACAGTAATTACTGCAACTTTAATTGATTATACCAATTACTTCCGAGGCTTTCACTGCTAACAAATACAACAATTATCGCTTTACTTTAATTGTCATCTGTTTTCATTCTTTTGGAATAAATATATAATCAGAGTTAATTATTCTATACAGTTCCTAATCAATTTTTTGCAATCGTGCGAAATTCCTTCTGGTGCTGTCATACTTTGGCAATTCCATCAGTAACGAATTGTCAAAAATGGGTTTTATAGCACGCAGCTTTAGTTGAACTAGACATTTTAACGTAAAAAAACGGTCTAAATGTCAAATAGCACCTCATATGCACGTATGTTAACGGTGCTGCGTGCGATATTTATGATTATGTATGTATAGATCCGTACTACTATATATTTAAACGAGATGAAACTTATATTGTAATCCAAAATAAGACAAATTATTTTTTGCTTGTAGTAAGTTTTATTTTTTTAAGAGCCATGTATTTGTGCCCCGGCACTAAGGCAAAACAGTGTTGTTTAGTAATAAATTTTAAAATTTGCGCCTTTTACGAGCAAATTACTACAATTCTAATACGTTTTGAAGAAAAAATGACAGTAAGCAACACAGCCTTTTTTAATAAAACGCTATTAATATAATTATTACACTTTCCGATTTTAAAGAAAAGCGTAAGTACTGTTAACAATTATTATAAGATAATATAATAATAAATTAACATTATTACAGTCACTATGAGTTTTTTTTGCTAGTTATTTTTGGTAGAAAATTGAAAGTGAGCTTATCTAAATTTCTTTTGCAATTTAGGCACTACCAAGAAGTAGTAAAATACAAAATTGACAATATTGATGTGACACTCTGCATAACATGCATTTTCGGCATAGCCCGAAAGAGTGAATTTTACCGTGCCCGAGACACTCTGCATAACATGGCCCTAATACATGCATTTTTAATCTCCACCGTTTACATTACACATTGGAGATTAATTTTGACGTTTCCCTTATTATGTTTTGTTTCGTATGTTTGATAAGTTTCTGTAAATAAATAAATTTAATTAGAATTTTGTACAAAAAATTGATATATAAATTTAATAAATAGTTTTATAACAATAATTTTATAAATTTTAGTTATAATTATGTACAAAACTATTATTAAACAAATTTATTAAAAATTTATTTACTTCGACATTTTCAAGTTTTCAGTCTGTGTTGAATAGCTTTTGTGTTATAAGGTTAATGTAGGACTAGAAACATGTCATATCCTAGATCTTACGTAAGCAAATATAGATTGTTATCATAATGTAAAAAATTTAATAAATTCATTAAGCAGCCTTAATAGTACATCATAATTCAACTTATTGTTCAATATATATGCTACATTATTTTATAAATTGATTGATTGTGAATAATATATAACATAAAAAAATGTATTTAATTAATAGATTGGCATAAATTGAACATACTGTTCCTTGCTTTACGTTATAAAATTTATCGATAACTCATTCGAATTGTCAAAACTACTTGATGTGCTGTAAAAGTTGTTAGTAAACTGTTTGCGGCATTATTTTTGTTGTAGAAAGTTTGACGAATTTTCTCTTTGATTTAACAAATAAAAATAAAAGCACTGCTAATATGGCTACTAGTGAGTAACTAAACGATTAAATTATATCGAACATTATTTATAATAGTATATTTCTTTTCATTCTATTTAGCAACAAACACTACTGAAGAAGTCGAAGCTCCTAAATATAAATTAACTGATGCCATTGTCAAAAATTTAAAAGTGGATAGAATAATGCATGATAATACAGCCAAAATAAATTGTATGGACTTCACCTACACTGGTGAATTAATGATTACGTCTAGTGATGACGGACAAATAGTTGTGTACGATTGCACCAAAGGGCTACAATCACGCATGGTGAAATCCTTAAAGTACGGAGTTGATTTAATACGTTTTACGCATGCACCTAATGCAATATTACATAGTTCCACTAAAGTCGATGATTCCATACGTTATCTCAGCTTACACGATAATAAGTATTTACGTTTCTTTCCTGGTCACACTAAGAAAGTGACGACACTGACTATTTCACCAGTTGATGACACTTTCATATCTGCTTCATTGGATAATACTTTACGTTTATGGGACTTACGTGCGCCAAATAGTTTTGCAATAATGCAAACTCCTAGCAAAACTGTAGCTGCATTTGATCCGGAAGGTTTAATTTTTGCTGCTGGTGTTAATTCAGATAGTGTTAAATTGTATGATTTGCGTTCTTTCGATAAAGGACCATTTACTACATTTAAATTGATTCCAGAAGAGGAAATAGAATGGACTGGCTTGAAGTTTTCACGCGATGGTAAAACTATTTTAATAAGTACAAATGGTACTGTCATTCGTTTGTTGGACTCTTTTCATGGTACACCATTGCAAACATTCGATGGTTATGCCAATACAGAACGTTTATCGATCGAGGCAAGCTTTAGTCCAGATTCTCAGTATATCTTTTCTGGTAGTAGTAATGGTCGTTTACATGTTTGGAACACAGATACTGGTCGTAAAGTGTGTGTACTGAATGGAAATCATTTGGGTCCAACAAGATGCGTACAATTTAATCCACAAAAAATCATGTTAGCATCAGCTTGCACTAATTTGGCTTTTTGGTTACCTGATACGGAATTACTGCAAGCACAATTAGCAGAAAAGTTGGCGAACAACGCGTAAAAAAAGACTAAAATCTGCTTTCAAAATTTGTAAAGTAAATAATGATAGTTTATAGAAGAGAATTATTGATTTAAGTGAAACTTATCTAAATATGTAATATATATTTAAGTACAAGTACTATACATCCCAATGAAGCAAGTACACTATAATACATATGATTAATATACATTTTTATATATGATTTATAGATATATAAAAAATTATGTATTTACATATATGTATAAAAAAACACATTGTAACAATGAATTTTTGTTGAAAAAGCGTGGCCTTTTGTTGTTAAAATTAATTAAATATTGATAACATACAAATATATATAATTTAGATAAAAGTTATATATATTATAATAACTGCAATTATTTTATATATATTTATATATAAATAATAACATTGAAAGTTAACGTATGCAATATAAATAAAATATATAACCAAAGATGTAAAATATGTACACTAATAAATAATACAGATAATATATATAAAAAGTATGTATTCCTGGTGTGAAAAATATTTATATTAAATGTAGATATATGTATACAGAAACATATAATATATATATTTATATATGTAAATATATATATTATATAACAAAGTGAATAAAATTAATTCCTTTTTTGTATAAGTACAGAATTTTGTAAAAAAAACTGAGTTAATTATATAATAAATATTAAAAATACAAAAATGTGCTAACGTATAATTAATATTAGATATATTCTATTAATAAATTTCAATAGAAAAAAGAAAGGTAAAACATTGTAAGAATAAGCAGTAAAGCAGTAAAAATAGCAGATAGTAACTAAAGTACAATTGATCTTTCGATCAATCAGCTTCAAAGATCCCTCCTTTCCCGAATCCATTCTTATTGCTAAACGATACCCTCGCCTCTCACACTACCAAAACCTATTCACATACTAACCCATGTATTATTTATTTACTGCGATCCTTCTCTCCTAGTGAAGCATAAATCCTCAACAATTCCTCTGAGTCTTACACTGTTGCCTGTTTCGCAATTTGATTCTAGGAGTACTGTACATATTTAAGTTCCTGGTCTATGGTTCTTCGCCATATCTTATCCTCCACGTCGGCGGTTACCTGGTGGATTCCAGTGTAGGGCTTGTTTCGTTATACAGGATTCTAGTTTCCTAAGCGTATTTCCAATCCACTTCCATTTTCTTCTTTTGATTTCAGTGGCAACGGTATTGGATATGCGCACGTCTTTGTAATTCCTTGTATGTTATCTACTTTATAGATCCTTGCTGATTACAACAACAACAGTAACAGGAAAATAGCTACTAATATTCATACGATAGTCCAGAGAAAGCATCTATACACCACATTAGAAGGGAAATATGCTACTATGTTTTTGCCCAGCTCATGCACGGCGGCGACTCAACACTTTAAGAGTCACCTTTCTTGAGGATCTTAATCAATTACAGGACCGGACACTCAATAATATTCAGACTGCGCCAAAGGTTCTGGGTGGTTTTAAACTTTGAGTTTTCCTACTTATAAGGTAACACAATGAGTCAATAGGTCAAAGGGATCGCCGGTAGAACCTAACCTACGGTTATTTGTTGAACATTGACTCTTTAATAATTAGAAGCGATGGGCCTCTATACAGTCCGTCTTTAATATTTATACTTTAGCAATGATCTGTTCACCTTGCTAATTAATAAAACTCTAAAAATTTTCAATGTTAATAAACTTTTATTCAACTTTTTACAGAGAGAAAAATCGGAACGTTCTCCTCAATCAAAACAAAAAACTTAAAAATATTTGAAATTGAATTTTACTTTTTAAATTCAATAAATGCACAGCCAACTGGGTCGCCACAGTACCCCCTCCTAGCGATGGAGTACTAGCAACAACGCGACACCACAACTAAGTCGACAACACCACTCTTAATCACAAAATTCCGCTAACCTTGCTGGGAAACGCACTACTCTACCAGCTCGTGTCACTTTCGGAATCGGCAACAGGGATTCACGCCTACAATCACCAGAAGTCACTAACTGATCACCATTCAACAGCGCTGAAGGCTGACGCGTTTCTGGAACAACCTGTTCAAGATCATCACACGTTAAGTACGCCGCCTTCAACCTATCATTCGAAACAGTCACCTCTCTCCCACGGCAAACAATAACAGACGTCTTCTCATTACGACTCAGCACCTCAAATGGACCTTCGTAAGGCTGCTCAAGTGGAGCTCGAGCACGATCCACTCGAAGAAAAACGTGCTTACAATTAATAACGTCCCGCGGAACATACACAGATGGATGACAATGTCTTGTTGATTCAACGGATTTAACCTTAGCTAAAGCCCTTCGCAACGCCGACACAAAATCAGTCTCGGACGACTTCTGCTTGAAATCCGAAAGCATCTGCCCTGGAACACAAAGAGGATTTCCAAACAACATCTCTGAAGGACTAGCATTTAGGTCTAGCTTCGGTGTCGTTCGCAATCCCAACAACACAAGCGGAAGAGACTGCGTCCAATTACTTGAGGAATGACATCGAATGGCTGCCTTCAATGTTCTATGGAAACGTTCAACCATACCATTTGCTTGAGGATGATAAGCCGTGGTATGAAAGTGTTTCACTCCAAGCAATCTCGTCAGTTCCCGAAATACAGCAGACTCAAACTGCCGACCCAAATCAGTGGTAATAGCCTGCGGAGAACCAAAACTTGCCACCCAACCGTCGATAAAAGCCGCTGCAACTTCTTCTGCCGTAATGCCCGACAGAGGCACAGCAACAGGCCACCGAGAAAAACGATCGACGCAAGTCAAACAATAACGCTTCCCCTGAGACAAAGGCAATGGACCCACAATGTCAACATGAACATGCTGGAACCGACTATCAATATCAGCAAACGAACCAATTGGTGTTTTAGTATGCCGCTGAATCTTGGACTTCTGACACGCAATGCAACTACGCACAAACACAGCTACATCCTTAACCAAACCAAGCCAAACATACCTAGCCTGCACCAATTTCCGCGTTGCTCGAATACCAGGATGAGCCAAACCGTGGAGTTTTGAGAGTACCAGCTGCCGACAGTTTGCGGGAACAAAAGGACGAACACGACTGCCTGACACATCACAGTACAGTTCAATACTCGAATCCGGCAATCTCAACTTCTTCAACCCAACACCATCTTCAGACTGGCTCTTCAGCTGAGCGAGCAACTCTGCATCAGTCTTCTGCCCCTCAGCAATTAACTCAATAACATTTGCCTCCAACTGAACCGTAGCAACCCGAGACAAAGAGTCAGCCACCGTATTATCTGCACCAGCCAGATGACGAATATCAGTGCAATACTGACTAATAAACTCCAGCTGTCTTGCACGACGAGGAGATGCCTTCTCACTTATTTGCCTGAACGCAAACGTTAAAGGTTTGTGATCCGTAAAAATGACGAAATCACGTCCCTCTAATGCATACTTAAAATGCTGGACAGCTTGATAGATAGCAGTCAACTCACGATCATAGGCACTATACTTAGTCTGCGCTGGACTCAAACCTTTTGAATAAAATGCCAATGGCTGAGTCACACCTTTCACTACTTGTTGGAGAACAGCACCCACCGCAACGTCTGAAGCATCAGTCGTGAGCGTCAATTGTGCATCCAGAGCCATGAAGTTAAGCAACGTAGCTTGGGCAAGATCATTCTTGCAAGCCTCAAAAACCTCTACATCTTCTGGAGTCCAAGAAATTACCGACTTATCATTCTTGCGGTTACCTGGTGTAAGATGAAACAACCGCTGCTGATTCTGCACAGCGTTACGCAGAAACGGCCGATAAAAGTTCACCATGCCTAAGAATTGTCTAAGCTGTTTCACCGTTGCTGGCAGAGGAAAATCACGAACAGCTTGAACTTTACTCTCCGGAGGACGTAAACCCTTTGCACTAATAACGTGCCCAAGGAACTCGATCTCGGAACAGCCGAACTTACACTTGGCAAAATTCACGGTCAAACCAGTTTCTCTAAGTCGATCTAAAACCAGTCGCAAATGCATTCTGTGTTCTGCTTCATCTTTTGACGCAATTAAAATATCGTCGATGTACGCAAAAACGAAATTAAGATCACCTAGAGTCTCATTCATAAAACGCTGAAACGTCTGGGCAGCATTACGGAGACCGAAAGTCATAAAGCGAAACTCGAACAGGCCAAACGGAGTTGTAATAGCTGTCTTCGGAATGTCTGCCAGTGCAAGCGGTATCTGATGATACGCTTTCTGCAAATCTATCTTAGAAAACATAGTTTTACCATGAAGAATACTCGTCACATCATGAATGAACGGAATCGGATACCGATCAGGTTTAGTTTGCGCGTTGAGCATGCGATAATCGCCACACGGTCTCCAACTTCCATCGCCTTTGCGAACCATGTGAAGTGGACTTGCCCAACAGCTTTTCGAAGGTTGACAAATCCCTGTCTGGACTAAAAATTGGAATTCCTTCTTGGCTTCTTCAAGTTTGGCTCCAACTAAACGTCGGGGACGAGCAAATGACGGCGCACCAAATGTCTCGATGCAATGTTCAACCTTAGTAACTAAACCCATCCGATTTGCACTCATAATGCCTAAATCACGGTATTCATTAACCAGCTCAGCATAAGCTGAAACTGAACCACACACACGCACAGTATCTTCTTGAGACACAGCAGCCTTACCCTTCATCATCAAAGTCGTCTTCGAATCAACTAACCGCTTCCTTTTCAAATCCACTAACAAGTCATAGTGATTAAGGAAGTCGGCTCCAACAATAGGACAGCTAACATCCGCAATCACGAACGTCCACGGGAAATGTCTACGCAAACCCAAAGACAAAAGCAGTCGACGCTCGCCAAATGTTTGAATAGGCGTACCATTAGCGGCATATAAATTAACTGATGCAACACTGTTAGCCCTTTGCTTCCAACGACAGAACGACTTCGGTAAAACTGATATGTCCGCACCAGTATCAATGAGAAAAACGGTCGACGTGGCGGGATCTTTAATACTAAGTCGAGCTATACGAACACTAACCCCTTCTCGGCTCGACGACGTAGAAGGAGGGCCTAGTTTTTTGACTGATGAGAGCTTGCCACAAAACTACAGGGCTGCCGACAAGCATTAGCTCTATCACCGAACCTTTCGTGATACCAGCACCAATCTGGATGACTTCCTGGTCGGAAACGAGTTCGCCTACGTCTCCTCGATGACGATCGACTTTGCACCGACTCACTACGACGTAAATCCAAACGACTCAGACGCTGTTCGATTTGCTCAAGCCTTCGTAAAATCACAGCATTCTCAGAATAGGCTGGACAATCAGAGGCTGACGCTACAGCTATCTGTTGAAAATCACCCGCCTCGCAAATACGATCTGCTAATTTCGCCAGTTCTGCTAGTGCCACGTTCGATGCCTGCAGAATAGCGCGCACTTGTGGTGGCAAACGCTTCAGCCAAAGAGACTTAAGGAACTCATCGCTCACCTTGTCTTTAGCTAATGCTGTCAACTCCGTTAGCAACTGTGTTGGGCGTCTATCACCAAGTTCAACTTCTGACAACAACCGTTGAATCTTCCGCTGCTCGCTCTCACTGTACCGCTCTATGATGCAAGCCTTTAAATTAGCGTATCTTCCAGTTTCAGGAGGATGAAGCACTGCATCACTTACATCGGCGATAACACTTGACTCAATCGCTGCTACTACCGTGTTGAACTGTGTGATATCACTCGTAATGGCAGCTACTGCGAATTGCGCCTCGATCTGAGCAAACCAAATCTCCGGTCGCTCGTGCCAAAACGGTGGCACCTTCACTGCTACACGGTTTACGACACTTCCACTATCAGAAGCCATTACTACACCTTCGTCTGCAACTGACATCACAGCTCGATAATTAGATATTTAGCTCAGAAGTTAATATTTCTAAATTTAAACTTTTTCGAGATCACGTCGGGGTCACCAATTTAGCAATGATCTGTTCACCTTGCTAATTAATAAAACTCTAAAAATTTTCAATGTTAATAAACTTTTATTCAACTTTTTACAGAGAGAAAAATCGGAACGTTCTCCTCAATCAAAACAAAAAACTTAAAAATATTTGAAATTGAATTTTACTTTTTAAATTCAATAAATGCACAGCCAACTGGGTCGCCACAATACTATTACGTATTGAATTTGGGGTTTTAATTTAAGTGCATCTAAGCATACTGAAGTCCAGGACGAAAAGACCTTTTGTAGGTCATTTAACATAAAATAATTTACTTAAGGATTTCATACCCTATGATTATGAAATCTATTTTAAGTAGAATAGGGTGGTAAAGGTGACGCAGTTTAAAAATTCAGAGGTAATTTTTTAATCAAGTGAATTCTGGTGCTGTATGGACTTCTGAAGAACTAACTTGATCAAAAAAAAATCTTGTGGATTTAACAATTTCCTTACTTCAACCACACTTTTCCATTTAAAATAATTTAATATATATCGAAAACATTTTGTCAACCGTTATGATTTCATAAGCAAAACCAATATTTTTTATTAATGAGTCTTAATGTCAAACTCCTTCATTATCTCTAATCTCGTAAGAGCAAGAACTCCTTATCATAGAATTAAAAAATAAAAGAAAACAAATCCCTTTGAGCTTGTTTATAATTAGGAAAATAATATTCCTAAAATACAATATAATTGACGATTTTCAAGGTCGATCTATTTATTTTCTACTTTATTACTTAATCGTATTCCTCTTTTTCTGCCATGAACTTCTAAGCAGAGGGAAGGTGTGTATATATACTCAAGATTAAAAAAAAATAGCAAAAAAAGTTTCTTATCTTTATATGGAAAAAAATTATGCCATCTTTCACGGTTTGATAATCCAGAGCAGCAGCGGTCGCATCGGCAGCACAAAAATGCCGCGACAGCACTAAAAATAATAAGAAAATATTCTCTTGCCGTGCACTTACACCCATGGCCGGCTTATCACTTACCGAAACCGGAGTAAAGAAGCAGTGTGGAAAGAGAAATGAAACTGCAAGAAGTACCAGTGTATATTGATAATCAATTAGTAATTTAAATTAAATTGCTGTACTCAAGTTCTCAGTTATCAATGCACACGCTGATTCGCCAACGCAGGAAGGTCAAGGGCTATCGTCACATTGAAATGAATCTCAAAATCTACGTACATATGAACGGAAGATTGACAGACTAATAGACGCAAGCTAAGGGAGAATGCGTGTATGTGAAGTGTACATGTTTTGAGTTATCATTGAAGAGAGATAGACCCTACCGTTTAATACAATATACAATATACAATATACAATATAATATAATATAATGAACCGGCAAAATATTTGTGTTAGTATTAAATGGTTCGGTAGGAAATTTTCGAATTCGGCTCATCAATATGGAAAGTGATACCGTCGCGTTCAGAAACAAACTGGTGGCTTTACTTACTGCATATTCAGTGTAGTGAACAAGAAGATTACAATGCTGATGAATCAACAAATCTGTCGCTGCTGCTTAGTAGAGAATCCCTTACATACGTACAATATATTTGATGATTCGCACTTACGTTTGGATTTGCTACAATTTGTGTCGACGTTGAACATTGAACCGGAAGATGGATTGTCCGAAGTAATTTGTGAATGTTGTCGTTTGCGTTTACGCGAAGCTTTAGACTTTCGGCGTAGCTGTGAGGCGGCAGAGAAAGAACTAAGAAAGCGTTACGATGATACCAATAAAGCGATAGAGCAAGTATTGAGTATGGACATATTTGAACAGGACGCACATGTGGGAATGATTTTAGAAAAGTTAGTCAGTGATGATATAGAAACTGAAACAGAAAATTTAAGTGAGCTAGGTAAGCTCTTAAAAATAGTGAAAAAAAAAAAATGTTCTAAAGTGTGTTCTATTAAATAATACAAAGAATTTTCAAGGATCTTAAATTTTTTTTCCAGATAATATTGAAGTTTCAATACTTGATGAGTTGCTCTTTGATGACAACAGTTTCAATAGCATATCTGATAATGTAGATAGTATTAATTCCGATGAACAAGATTCTACCATAACAGAACTGCTTAATGATGTCCTCAATGATCATGTTTTTGAGAGTTTAACAAATTCTAATGAATTTAGCGATAATACACACTTAACTACAAATGACATAAATGTGGATCCCAATAAACAGCATCATAATCAGCATAATCAAGAAAATTATGTACATCCTAAAGACTCTTCCAAATCAAAGAAAACGAATAAAGGAAATGCTAAAGCCACACAAAAATCAAATGTAAAATCTTTGCATCCCTGCACTTTGTGTGATAAAAAATTTACACGTAATTTTCAATTGAAACTGCATATGATCTCAGTACATAATGTGGGTGACGGTCTGCAATACAAATGCCTGGAGTGCCAGAAGACCTTCGCCTCACGCCATAGTCTTAAATATCATCATAAGTCCATACATTCACTGGAACGCCCTTATGCCTGCACACAGTGTGAACGACGTTTTGTCTTACGTACCCAATTAAGCTCTCATATGCGCACCCACACCGGAGAATCCAAACCACGCACTCATGAGTGCGACCAATGCAAAAAAAAGTATTTAACGAAATCGGATTTGCGGACACATATGCGTTCACATGATCCCGATATGGAGCGTCCCTTCAAATGTGATCGTTGTGAAAAGTGTTTCTTCACTCGTGGACATCTGAATTCTCATTTATTAGTGCATACCGGTGAAAAACCATTTGCTTGTACATTTTGTGAAAGATCCTATCAAAGTGTTGGAAATCTGAATAATCATCTTGTACGACGGCATGCGGATATAATTATGGCTCATCCAGTTAATTGCACAGCTTTAGAGTCTCCTTTGTTGCCGACTGCTTGCAATGCATAGCAAATCAACATCTATTGGTATTATGAATTAATTATGGTATAATTATTAATTAGATTACTAATGTAGATAAGTTTTATATACAAATTTATTTTTAAATATGTATATATATATATATATATATATAGTAACACATATGCTTTAATTTATGATTCAATAGTTTTGTTTTGGATATAGATGTATATCCAAAACATATATGATATATTCCCATATGAGTATAATAAATCTGAATAGATATTATATATTTAAAACTCTTTATATAAATAAATAATTTGTAATTTTGATAATATAATTTTATGTGAAAAATATAAAAATTAAATGTTGTCGATAATTCTTAGAGATAAGTTTAAATTTAAAAATATATATGATTATAAAATTAAATAAAACTGAAAAGAACAGTAAATTATAACAAAAAACTAAAAAATACAACAACAATAGAATCAGTACCAATTATAACAATAATATCAAGAGCTAATAATATCTACTTTCTAGAGTCTGATAGATGCTCAGTTGGAGATACGCCGATCGTATGGTTAACAAAATCAGTTTCTACTAAGATATTGGTTAAACACGGGACAAAACAACAATAATAGGAGTAAAAACAATTACAACAATCAAATTTAAATTATTATCAGAGCACGAGAAAACTGTTCTTATAATAGATGTATAGTATAGATGTATAATAGATGTTTTGATATATATGTATATAAAAAAGTTATGTGTTATATTGTACTATTAGAGATATGAATCTTAATGTTAATACTGTATGTAGTTATATATTAAATATATTTACTTACTGATAATGTTCCTAATATATATGTATAAGGATCTATACCTTGCGGGCGTAGATACATTTTTACGACTATATAAAAACTATATAAATTGCATAAAAACTATATACAATTTTTTTATTTTATAGATATTCTATTACTGATTTTTTGGGAGGTTGGAAATGCCTACTCAGTGATCACAACCTGACGCATCGGAAAGTGACGCACACGAACTAAATCCCTGCCCATCATTCTTATCCTAATTCGGGACTACTTTAGTATAACTTTGCGGTAGGGTCCCTATTAGTCATAAAAGACTTCTATCAGTGTGCTCTGCGTCCAGGTCCCGCTACTGCTTCATTCTTGCACTTCGTTTAGACGTGACATAACTGCTCGTCCCACCTGCCTTCTTTCTAGATCTACTTTTTTTAGTCTTAGGCTGAATGTTTTTGCAAACATCTCAGTTAGTTTTGTTTTCGATTATTTTTTCTGCCATTGTCCGTGAAAAAAAAATACGTTTTTAATTTAATTTTTTATATATAGATTAAAAAAAAAGGAACAAAAACAGCAAATGTATGTATGATATTCCAGAATTGTATAACGTATAGAGTATATAATAAGTATATAATATATAACGTATAGAGTCTTAAATATATATTTTCCGATCAGATTTATTATGCTCATATAGGAATATAAAACACTTATATCCAAAAAAAAACTAAAGAAAAATCATAATCTAAGGCATATGTGTTACTAGGCACGTACTCAACTAGGGCGTCCCCATTTTAGAATATTTGTTTTATAAGAATATAACAAAATTAAAAAAAAATGCACATTTTGTAATAAATATTTAAATTAGAGATAATTCTGAACGTCTAAATGCTTCGAAGTTCAGGTATACAAATCTATTCTAAGCTTAGAATATAATGCGCATTAGACTCAAATAATAGAATAGGAATGTTGTAATAAAAATAATTTTTACATTATATACATATTATATATATATATAAACATATAAAAATATATTTATTTTACATTAAGTTAGAAAGTGTTTACTATTGATAAGCATTTTTCTTGAGTTGACGGGTATTAACTATCGCTATGGCAACTATTAGGGCTGATCAGTACTTATTAGTATTAATGAAAAAGACTACTTATCTCAGTATTATAGATGGATTTAAGGTATCAACACCTTTTTACTATTACAAAATTTCCAAGGGTTTAAATGGAATGTTAGTCTGAGGTGCAATCTATAGTTTAATTATTCCATATGAGTAATGGAAAAAGAAAATATACTTTTTTAATATATAGTAAGAGAAGTTCGAGAGTTTCTGTAGTAAAATGAAAGTAACAGAAATAAAGTGCTCAAGGAGATAAGCAACTGTCGGTAGCTAACTATCGCAAGCTAACCTCCAATATAAAGCCAAGAGTCACCAGTTTTAGTGGTTTCATAATCTATATATAATATTATGGAATATATTAATAATATATAATAATAATATAAATATATTATTATAATATTATAATATATAATATATTTTATATTATACATATAATATAACATACTCGTAAGCCCTAAACGTGTTAAAGTAGCTAAGTCAGAAAGAGAAAGAAGAAAGACTGTTTGGGTACCCAAGCCTTATATCTATTTGAGGACAAAGCGAGAAGACAAGGAAAAACGATAGTATCGAATTTGAAGTATTGCACAAAATGGTTTTGAATAGAAGAACTTTTACGAGACTCACCTACGCTGTAATGACAATAAAGGAATTTCATAAAGAAGAAGAAAAAGTTTTCAGGAGAGAGAGAGAGAAACATTTACACAGCAACAGTAATAAAAGAGAGAGAAGCTTTCACGCTGCAACAATAATAAAGGAGTTTGATAAAAAATAAGAAGAAGGTTTCAAGAGAGAAGGATTTATTTTTTCATTTACTTTCAGTCAACCACTCGATCTGGTTTATATAACCAGTAGATAAAAATCTGTCCCATTTAAATATATGACTCCACAAGTGGCCGGGAACACATTGAAAGGTGTAATGTACTTCTATATTTATGTCTTGATTATTAATTGATGGAAAACGTACTCAATAATTGTATTGACTAAATTTTATAGGTACTCAAGTCTTATATTTATTTATGGATTTATTGACTTACTTACTTACTTACTTAATGGGCCATTACAGACATAAGTTGCCCTTGGCCGCGTCGAGTAGTCTCCCCCAGTCAACCCCGACTTACTGCATCTTTGTTATAAATGATATACATGAGTGAACCCTCCTTTATATTGCATTTTAATGAGACCCTCTTTCTATATATAAGTGTGTCTATAATTTTTAAATTATATTTTATTTTTAAATATTTTATTAAAATTATGAAAGAAGTGCTGGCACTCGACCTCAGTACTTAGTAATTTTTGATTGCCAATATAATTTTTTTTCGCATATATTTCATTTTAATTTGATAATTTCTTGCTATAACTGCAAAATAATATAAATATTTTTTTTGATTGTATCAGAAATTGATTGATTTGTATTTATATAAATATAAATATATATAACAAATCTGGAAGTCTCTATTGGCAGTATAAGTAACAGGAAACTTGACCTTAACTTGCAGTTTATCATTAGTAAAAATGATTCCTGCAAATCGAAAATGCAAGGGGATGTGATGAATAAGTCTCATTGTGATTTTAAAGAAAGAAAAAAAAACAAAAAAGTATATATTAATAACAATTAGTCATTTATAAAAAAATAATACATTTTTATGTTCAAATAAATAAATAAGAAAAATACTGAAAACTTGGACCTTAACAATTGATCACGTAGTACTCTTCCTCTTTATAGTACGAGTAGCGTAAAGTGCTGAAGAATGACTTTGTTTAAATAAAAAAATAGTTTCTACGAACAATTAAATTTAACTTTCTTTGTTTACAATGAAATAATAAAAAGTTAAAAATAATTTAAAAACATATTTAAGTGGGAACAGAGAACAGATATCAGGAAGTTACAGCTTTTATTTAGATAATCTGTAGGTCATCAACTGTCAAGCTCAAGTGAGTGTCTGATTAAATTAACCAATTTGTTGAGACCAGAAGAATGTGCAAGATTGTAGGAAGTGCGAATGGTCATTGCGTAGGCTTCTGGTATTTTAAATGTTAAGTGGGAAAGTTTGTAAAAATGTGGAATCTTTTTATTGATTGAATGAAAGTTGTAGTGATCATAGTGTTGCTATGCCTCTTAAAAAGTACTAAAACACTATAATCCATTTAAATCATATGATAGGTTGGTGGGGTTCGTATGAAAGCATGCTGGAGAACATTTTCTTTATTCTCTTGGCTGTTAAGAATTGTTACTTCGGTGATGTTACGCCTTAGTATCTTTACTATAACTAGAAATCAATATCATAGTCGTGTTTGATTTTAAACGTGAAAAAGAAATTTAAAATGACAGTCCCGGATTGTCTAATAAATTCAAGAACTTACACATAAAGTTCTTAACATACTCTGATTTTGACAGTTTTATTTTAAACGTAGTTGATTTGAAGACCACACATATCAGATTACTCTAATTATAGCTTTTAACCTGTTCTCAACTGAACTGGTTTTGAACCTGACTTGATTTGTTTGTATGACCAATATCTTCATGCCATTATAAGATTTATTGTAGTTCAATTTCTTAAAAGAGAAATTCAAAGATTATAAAGTTATTGGTAAACCATATAATAACATAATTTCAAGTTTTTATTTTCTTTTGGTCTGATGAGAGCCAGACGAAGGCGTCAAATTTATATTCCAAAAATCGTAAAACAAGTCCACAGTTAATTGAAAGATAAACTTTCTTTCTCGCTATTCTTTTTGAAATAAGAATTCTTCTAATTATATTCTTCTAAATGGAAATATATATATAAATATTTAAGATCACTTATACATAAATTTATTGTCGTATGATTGTTTAGATAATCTAACCGAGAGCATATAATCTAGCTATATAGTTGTTTCAACGGTCATTGCCCTATATAGCTTATCATTAAACAAATTCCCTAAATAACTCAGTGCATCGAATTACAATACTCTATTATAAGTGTAGAAATTCAAATTATTTTAATTTTAATAATTTTAATTGTCATGATTTTTAGTTGATTGCCCTCCAACACTCTCGATCTGCTTATCATATTTATGTAATAATAAAATGTCATAGATTTAATTTTTATTTTAGATTCTCATATATTGTATTGTATTGTAACATACGTATGTATAAGTTGAAGAGATCAACTCAAGTAAACATACTGATTAAACGATATTCATATTTCTTATTGGCGCATCGCATACGTATATATATACGTATTTTAGATGCGGAGATAATTCAGCACACGAACAGATATATACAAATGCAAACATTTTATTATCAGAAAATATCATTACCCTTGTTGTCTACCATTTAATCTATTTTATGCTATTTTTGCTCGTACATTGTATATGAGTAATTTGAATGGAATACTCGTAAGAACAGACATAATTACTTGAGCCTCGAACATAGACAACTTGAAAATATCGTAGATGTGCAAGAGAACAGCACTAAAATACTTCCGTAAGTGACTTAATTAATTTAACACTTTAACCAGAAGCTCAATGTAAGTACGAGGGTGAATCAAAAATTCACTGAATTTTTATATATATATTAAATAATAATATTAAATATATTATATATAATACAGTTTTTTATAAACTCTTTTAGAAAAGAGTTTATTCTTAATACAGTCCACATTCACCTTATAACAATTTCTTTAACGTTTCTGGAATTTTTTGATCTCTCTCAAAATATTTGGTTCCTTGAGATCCTTAAATTATTATTAGTATTAAATAATAGGCTATGACTGCACCTCTATCTAAAACATCTATGGTCCGCCTTAAAGTCCAACTAAAACAATTTCAGACTATTTATTAATCTCGTAACTGCTGTGAGTTTAATTTTACCTATTTGATTTGGGATCAAGATCCCACTTCCAAGGTAGTCAAGTCTACGTCTTGCCGCCACTGAGCAGTTGTATAGAACATGTTCTGACGTTTCCTTTTCCTCATGACAGAGTCGCCAGGAATCAATTTCTACTGCACCTATAGTCTTTATGAGCTATATATATAAAGAAATTTTTATCAAACTGTATACTCCGGTTAGGAAATTGAGATAATCGCTTGAAGCTAAACCTAGTAAATAAGGCAGAAATTCCTAAATTCAAATTAATGCGAATTATGACTTCTATAATTTAAATTTAGTCTCTTTCCCATATTAATAAGATAATAGATCTTTATGATGAATTATTATGCATTGGTGATCGAACTTATTTAGTTATTGAGTCATGAGTTATGTTATTCCTATTCCTTTACCGGCTAATATAAAGATTTTTGCTTTCTTCTTAGCTGAAATCTACTGTTTCTCCATCTTTGATGTTAATTGGGTGTTTGTTTTATTCAGAGTAATGAATCGAATCGAAGATTTTA